CAAACACACACATACATGCACACAAACACATACACAATACACACACACATACATGCAGACACAGACAGACACATAACACACATACATACACACACATACACACACATACATAGACACACACATACATACACACACACATACATACACACAAACACATACACACACGTACATACACACATACATAGAGACACGCAGACATACACATAAAGACATAAAAAAAAACCCACATACATACACACACATACACACAAACACATACATACACATACATACACACATACATAGAGACACACAGTTCAAGTTCAAGTTCATTTATTAGGTATAGCCCTGTGAGCCATTCAGCTCTTGAATCGGGTGCAACCGCAACAAACAAAAAACAAAAACATGAACAAAAAAACATCTTAAAGTGAATATGTGACTAAGTGCAAACAGAAAATCCAAGAAAAGACAGCAAAAAATATTGCAGAAAAAACACCGTACACCAACGCTGTGTGCAAACACACATACACATGACCCGGCTTCGCCCGGGACTTGGATCCACGATGCCCCGCCGCCTTTGTCTCCCCAGTGACGATGTTCACACACGACAGCAGTTACGCTTTTGAGGCTGAGTGTACCTAGGGGAGGGCCAGGTCCGTTTCAAATAATCGTCAGCGGTGGTGGGCGTGAGTTGGAATCGAACTGGGGTCGCTCAAGCAGCTTAATGACTGTTTGTACAAAGAACATATAAAGAATCGATTATAATAACCAGGCAAGAGTCCACATTATAGACTGCCAGTACACGCACTCAGCTTCATAAGCAGGCTAGAGTGTACATGATAGAGTGGCAGTACGCTCACCGAGCTTAATAAGCAGGCTACAGTGTACATGATAGACTGGCAGTACGCTCACCCAGCTTAATGAGTATTTGTACAGTGAACATTAAAGTAATCGATTGTTGGCGCGTTGGGTTTAAAAGTAATATTAATAGCACACATTGTGGTGGGGGTGTAGTGAAGAGTAGGAAAAACTTTGATGAATTTACCTCAGAGTGGCGTGGTGGGTGTCGAGGCCTAGTAGCGTGCAAAGCCTGCGGCCTCGCCTAAAATTGTCGGCTTGGAAGAGGCAGGGTACGGGTGGCGTTCCTTCCCCCCCCCCCCTAGCGCTCCAACAATACTGTGTAATGGCTATTATTTAATTAAATACGGAGCTTATGAAAGTGGCGAAGGCGTGGCTAGCCGTTGGCAGGGGCAACCGCCGTCCAATGAAACTGCAGCCCTTGGCGAAGGCGTGGCTAGCCGTTGCCAGGTCCAATGAAAGCGGCGAAGGCGTAGCTAGCCGTTGCCAGGGGCAACCGCCGTCCAATGAAAGTGCGTATGGGCCAAAGTCCACACACACACACACAGACAGACAGACATGAACGATTTTATATATATAGATGGCTTCATGAACGAATCGTTGATGGTAGCCCAAAGGTTTGCAGAGTACCTTGGTCTCAGAAAAAAATAATGTCGTGTGAGCCCACCGCGTTCAAGCAGTGATCAGCCACGGCAGAGGTATTGGTTCTGCTATTTCAAATCTGCCTTTTGTTCGCGAACACGGTCCGAGACATGTCGTTTCGTTTCCCCAATGTAACTGCTACCACAGACACAACTTAGTTTGTAGATACCAGGGTATTGCATGTCAGTAATCACATCTTTCACAGATGGGATCCGGTCACGGATTTTGTGCACTTTGTTGAATAGATCCTGAATCTTGTGTTTGTTCAAGATTTAGGAAATATTTTAGGAACATTTTTGGTAACCCCTGCTATGTATGGCAATGTGATGGTTTTTATTGGGTCCTCAGATGGTTCTCTACCCATGGTTGGGGATACAACTTTGCGGATTGTGTGGTCCGAATATCCATTCATCTTGAGGACTTGGCGTACATGCTGCAGTTCATTGGATAGGTGGTGCTGGTCGGATCTTACATTTACATGCAGTCCTCGATGTGACTGCGCGCTGCGAGCTTACATTGACATGCTATTCACATTTACACATTACATTTACATGCAAATTTCTCACGTTAACATCACTAACCCCCCCACTTGGTTTATGACTTTTGAAAGCAGCCTGCATCAGCAACTTCCCTCCTCTTTCTTCCGCCTGATGACGATTGCTTGCGTTGCAATCGAAACTTCGGGATCTATTATTTTTCTACCTATGAGACTTTACCGAAAGAACCAAAGAGTTTGTATAGTGAAGTAATTGTGTTTTTTCATTTGCTATACAGCCAGATAATACAACAAATCGCCAAACTTAAACACCCAGACGTTCATAAAAGTCGAAGGCAGTATAGTACTATAGTAATAGAGCAAGTGCAGAATCATTGAACCGGAATTGATAGCTTGAAAGCATTTAGTGCAGGGCCCTTGAAAGTGCAGGGCCCGTAGCATGTGTAGCTATTACATATGTAGCTACTACATGTGTAGTAGCTACATGTGTAGTAGCTACATGTGTAGTAGCTACATGTGTAGTAGCTACAAATGTAGCTACTACATATGTAGCTACTACTATATGTAGCTACTACATGTGTAGTAGCTACATATATGTGTAGCTACTACATGTGTAGCTACTACACGTGTAGCTACTAAACGTGTCGCTACTACACGTGTAGCTACTACATGTGTAGCTACTACATGTGTAGCTACTACATGTGTAGTAGCTACATATATGTGTAGCTACTACGTGTGTAGCTACTAAACGTGTAGCTACTAAACGTGTAGCTACTACATGTGTAGCTACTAAACGTGTAGCTACTACATGTGTAGCTACTACATGTATAGCTACTTTTGCTACTAGGGTAATCCGGCACTGGGAAGGGGGGTTGGGGGGAGAAGTTGGCTGGACAGGGGAGAGCTGGCTTTGGCCGGGAAGGGGGGAGTAATTGGCTCCGGGGGGTGGGGGTGTGGTTGTGGCTTGGCCCCCCTCGCGTTAGCAACAGTGGGGTGACGTCCATGGGCAAAGAGCATCGCTGATAAGGACGGCGGTGTCGCGAGTCAGCACCGCAGAACAAACAACCGGGAACACCCCCCCCCATCCACCCCCTCGGTCCACTACTGATAGTGGGGCACAGAGGTTGGGAATAGAGGGGATTGGTTTGGGTTGACGTTAGGATGAGGGTTAGCATCATGGCTCGAGTTGGGAGTTAAGTATATGGGTCGGTGTAGTGTTGGAGTTGGGGGTTAGCAGTTAGAATTAAGAAATGCGAGGTTGCAGTTGTATTATATAGGATTAAGAGCGAGTGTGAGGGATGGAATTGGGGGCTAGCAGTGTGTTCAGTTTGTTGTCCTTTCCCCGCACCTCCGATTAGCACGTTTCGCTACGTACGGTGCGAAAGAAGTTCAACATACATTGAGGGATAGAAAAACCTGTTTGCAGCCAGGGATAGAAATTGAGCCTTGGGCCGATATTCGTAATAGGAATAGTGGTTAGGCCTGGCGTTTGGGATGGGATTAGGGCTGCGGCTATCATTTGGCATAGGGCCAGGGATATCGCCATCGGCATTGGAATTGTAGAGTTTGATTGCACGTGATTGGATGGGAGACGAGCAGGTGTCATTCCCAATGTGCATTTGGAGGGGTGGGGGGGCGGGGTCTATTCCACTCCGGCTCCAGTGACCCCCAGCTCTCAATGCCGGATGATCCTAGTAGCAAAAGTAGCTACACATGTAATAGCTACTACATGTAGTAGCAGCTACACATGTAGTAGCTACTACACAGGTAGTAGCTACACATGTAGTAGCTACACAAGTGTAGTAGCTACACACATGTAGTAGCTACACATGTAGCAGCTACTACATGTGTAGTAACTACGGGCCCCGTACTTTCAAGGGCCCCGCACTAAAAGCTATCAATTCCGGTTCAGTGATTCTGTACTTGCTCTATTACTATAGTACGATACCGCCTTCAACTTTTATGAACGACTGGGTGTTTAAGGTTAGCGATTTGTCGGATTATCTGGCTGTATAGCAAATGAAAAAATACCATTACTTTACTATGCAAGTTAAAAATGTGTTGAAAAAGTTTTTTAGGGCCCCTTTATAACGTACGCTACAGGCCGTGCACTACCTTCATCCGGCAATGCCAGCTCTAGTGAACCCCGTTCCTGCTCCGGCTCCGTTCTGGTGACCCCCAACTCCCATGAGCCCCGTTCCAGCTCTACTTCATATCCAGTGGCTATCGGTTCCAGCCCCACTCCTGTTCTCTGCATCCCCAGCTCTGCTCCAGCGACCTCGGCTGCAGTAGCTCGAACGCGACTCCGGCTCCACTCCAGCAAAGAGAAAATGGGAAAATCTGTTCTACCTCCAGAGCCTCGGAGCCTTCGACTCGCCAAACTTTCTCTAAACCCCTTCTTGCCCCCTGCCCCCTGCGCCCCCCTAACCCTCCACATCTCCCCCCTTCAACCTCAAAACCCCCTCCACCCCTCCTCACCCCTCCCCCCTTCACCCCCTCCCCCTCCTCCACACCCCTTACCCCCTCCACACCCCCCTCCCCCCTCCACACCCCCCTCCCCTCCCCCTCCACTCCCCCTCCACACCCCTTCTACACCTTCACGCCGCGAATCACCACCAGGCACTGCGTGGTGACCGCAGTCGCCCGCAGTTCAGGCAAAGAGAGAGAGAGAGGGGGAGGTAGGCGAGAGAATGGGAGGCGAGAGGGGGAGGCGAGTGGGGAAAGAAGGCGAGGGGGGGAGGGAGGCGAGAGGGGGAGGGAGGGAGGTGAAAGGGGGAGGGAGGGAGGGAGGCGAGAGGGGTAGGGAGGCGAGGGAGGGAGGCGAGGGAGGGAGGCGAGAGGGGGATGAGGCGAGGGGGGTAGGGAGGCGAGGGAGGGAGGCGAGGGGGGGAGGCGAGGGGGGGAGGCGAGGGGGGGAGGGAGGGAGGCGAGAGGGGTAGGGAGGCGAGGGGGGAGGGAGGCGAGGGGGGAGGGAGAGGGGGGGGCAAGGGGGAAGGCGAGGGGGGAGGGAGGGGGGAGGCGAGAGAGTGACCCTCGCCGCTGTCTGCACGGGCGCACGGATCTGAGTGGCCGCTTGTGTGGACACTGAAGCCAGGGGCGAGAGTCAGGAGGGAGGCCGAAGAGAAGCAGCGGTCGAGGCGACATGGCTGATTCGAAGCGTTGTGGGTAAGCAGTTACGATTGTCATAATAATCTGCAGTGCCGGATGATCCTCGTAGCAAAAGTAGCGACAAATATTGCGGGCCCCGTACTTTCAAGGGCCCCGCGCTAAATGCTTTAAAGTTATCAATTCCGGTTCACTGATTCTGCACTTGCTCTATTACTATAGTACTATACTGCCTTCAACTTTTATGAACGACTGGGTGTTTAAGGTTCGCGATTTGTCGTGTATTCGGCTGTATAGCAAATGAAAAAATATAATTACTTAACTGTGCAAGTAAAAAATGTGTTTCGATTTAAAGCTTTCGTGACTGCAGGGATTCATCTTCTTGGTTCTTTCGGTGAAGTCACGTAGAAGGGAAGTAATAAAATAATAAAAATTATTTATTATGTTTTATTTTTATTATTTTATTACTTCTCTTCTGCGTGACTTTACCGAAAGAACCAAGAAGAAAAAAATGTGTTTTAATGTTGCTGCCAGAAACCACGCCTGCAAGCTCTGCAGTCCTCTACATATTCAGTTACCAGCCAATTAATGAGTGCGTATACATGTGGGGGGAATGATTCGGAGCACCCGGCGAGAAATCCCCGCGCATGCGAGTGAGGGGGGAAACACTCCACCACATGCAGTCGAGACAGAGGTGGTGGAGTCCAGATTTTTGTATTTACACGCTTTTATTTAACTCACTCTGTTGTCGTATCCTCAAATCTAATAACTCAATTTTAACCCACTTCCCAATGTCGTATTGACTGCAAACTTGGTATATTTATGTCATACTGATGACAATACTATTCTATCATTAAAAATATATATTTTTAAGCAATCTGTTGTATATCTTATGTTTCGGCTTGGGTCTAATTGTCCACGCTCACAGTCCCTTACGCTATGGCAAGCTTCGGGTCCACTTCCTGGAGTCGTGGAGTTCTGCCGTTACTCGTACGGTACATTTCATTAAAGCGTGTTTAAAAAAAAGCATTTTAAAATATTACTTATAAATTTTGCTGCCCTTGTCCCTGTGAGCCTTCACGGCGCTGGATTCCAAGCCACGTGCATAGCCACCACGGGGGACAGCTATGAACGCTGATGCGAGACAGTATGGCTACAGCTGTGGCCTGAGCATGAGGGGTGGGTGGGTCACTGGTTTGTCGTGGAAGCACGCGAGGCGAACCGATCTGAGACCCTGGCGTCCTGCCACGGCTGGGCAGTGACGAGCTGAGTGAAGCCGCTCTCCCCGAGTGATTCGTGGCAAGCGGTAGTTTAGAGCAGCGGTCCCCAACCTTTTTGGCACCGGGGACCGGTTTTCACGGACCGGGGGGGGGGGTTCATCATTGGGTCTTTCCCCCTTTTCAAAGCCGCTCTGTAGCGACGTTTGTTTTTTTAAATCCTTTATATTAAGTTCGCTTGCTTGCTTGCGTGCTTGCTTGCTTGCTTGCGTGCTTGCTTGCGTGCTTGCTTGCTTACGACCGTGCAAATCTTTCGGTCGTTTTTTAACCCACTTCCCGTGATCCAATCGAGCTGACATTTTCCACACAGACTCGTTGTGCCAGACAATTAATGTTCGTGAAAAAAAATTCCCAAAATTTTACACTTTTTAGGCAAAAAAAATGTATTTTACATATATTCAAATAGAACTCATTCATGGCTTTGGCTGAACATCACAGTATAAGAGCCCAGAGCGTAACCCCTCCACAGGCCGTGGCGGAGTAGCGCAGTTGGTAGCGCCCTCGCTTCCCATGCCAAAGGTCGCAGATCGATCCCCGCGTCCTCCACAGGCGAATATATTTTTAAATCCTTTATATTAAGTTCGCTGCCACGCATATAAAGGATTTATAGTGAAAAACTTTGTTTTTACGGGTTATACTTATTACTCATTGTGGCCAGGGGTTAGCAGCTTGTGTGCTTACCAAAACTGTGGCTGAGACAAGTCCGCAGTGCGGGAAAGAGGCGCGGACGGAAGTGGTCAATAAAACAATTGGCGGGCCACGTGCGGACTCACCGCTCTCCTCCTGCTGCTTTGCAGCCCGGTTCCCAACAGGTCACGGACCGGTACCGGTCCGCGGCCCGGGGGTTGGGGACCCCTGGTTTAGATAACCGCTCCTCTGTGGCGCCCTGCAACGTCGTGGCTCTGCCTCGATGGAGGCGCTGCCACGACCTCACCTCCCATGCTGACATTGCGTTGGGTGGATCCTTAAAAAAAAGCAGTCGCCCCTAGGAGTTCGAATGCAGTGTTCGCATCCCATTCTGCCAGCCAGGCTGCTCTCAGGATCGCTGTCACGCTGCAGCCAGGGTGGAGGAGAAGCCGAAAGGGATGGAGTGGATTTGAGGTTTAGGAACATGACGGGTGGTGGCGAGGAGGATGATGGGTGAGGAGGTGTGGACGTGTGTGTGCGTGCGCTCGTCCAGGCGATACGCGTATGAAGACTATGAGCTGACAGCGCAGTGGCTGCTGTCCCGCACGGAGCACCGACCAAAGGTGGCTCGCAGCCTCCACATCATCAACACCGCCACTACCACCACCACAGTCACTATCGTCACCACCACAACCACAGTCACTTTTATTATCACCACCACTACCACCACCACAATCACTATCGTCACCACCACAACCACAGTCACTTTTATTATCACCACCACTACCACCACCACAATCACTATCGTCACCACCACCACAACCAGTCACTTTTATTACTACCACCACTACCGCAGCCACAGTCATTTTTCTCAACACAACTACCACAACCACAATCACTTTTATTATCACCACTACCACCGCAGCCACAGTCACTTAGCTCACCACCACTACCACCACCACCACAGTCACTATCATTAAACAAAGACAAATATTCCCCGTACAGCAGGTCCCACGGTTAACGACATCTATTGGTTCCACGAAAATGAATCGTTTATTCAAAATATCGTTTATCGAATATAGGAAATACATGTTAAAGACTCAATTTGTTCCAAGACGATCGTTAGTTGACCTTCACCCTAATAATGTAGTTTATTATATTGAAACACGCAATTTTAATAAACGTTCCAAGAACATATTAAAGTATTACCATTAATACAAACGTGGATAAACAATTAATAACGTAAAAAGGTGCATAAATTGAGCATAAAATAATTATTGGATGGGTTAAACTAGCCGGTTGCTCTCAAAACGCTCTTAAAGGGGCATCGCTGATTGGCTGAGTCCACTTAGGAGCACTCCGATTGGCCGAAATTGGCAGCCGCGTCATATCGTTAAACGAAAATGTAGCGTTAATAGAAACAATGGGACCCTATGGGAGGCGGATCGTTTATTGAAATATCGTTAAACGATGGCATCTTAAACCGAAGGAACATTGCATAGCTTTAACAGACTGTTGGGGCATGTGTTATCCGCGAGCACCTATGAAAGCCGTCACGGTACACAAAGGGGTGGGTGGCCAGCACCACGCCCGGCCCCCTTTGTCTCCCCAGTGGCGATGTTTACGCACTGCACCAGCTACCCATTTGAGGCTGAGTCGATCTAGGTGAAGCCGAGGACCGGTTCAGATGTTCGTCACTGATGTTGGCCATGAGCGGCGATCGAACTCCGTTCGCTGGAATCTAGATTTGAAGTTTTTGTGATTGCAGGGATCCATACTCTTTGGTTCTTTCGGTAAAGTCACGTAGGTATTTAATTTATTTTATACCTACGTGACTTTACCGAAAGAAGTCCGTTCGCTGGGTTCGTAGCGCGGCGCTCTAACCGCTATGTGACCGCTCGCCACACGCGCGTGTGTGGAGGTCGCGATCGTGTGCGGCTCCGGCCTCGGAGACCTGGCCACTCAGCTGTGCGATGCCACCGTATTCCACTACCGGGACATCCCCAACTTCCTCGAGACCACCGGTACGTACCATGCTGGTGAGCGTCAGTGAAGTAAAAACTCGTTCAATCAAATGCCCGTGTAAGTACTGGTCTACAAATATTTTTAGACGTCGTCTGCTTCAGATATGAAATGTGCTGTTTATTATGTATTTTGATGTGCTGAATTCAAATATGCCAATCAAAACAACTGATTGGCTACTGTTCCCAAGATATTTAAGTTTTTATATTTTACGTCTATGTATATTGTGTAGATAGAGTTTTACTCATAAATTGTAAACCTATGTCTTGTCATGTATTTATGGTTGCTTTACATGATAACATGTCACCTGTTATGTTTATGTAAGACTTTACAAATCAGCAAAAGGGTAAAACAATAAAATGTATTATGAAACAAAAGGCAAGCAACTAGTATGTATATATAAGTACATAGTTTAGTCCTTATTATGATCGGTGCACCAAGTAAAATGCTTCTTCCAGATTATTCTTATTGGAACCGCACATACCAGCAGGGAGTTCAGTGCCCAGACCATCCCGATCAGTGCCAGTAAGGTCGAAACTTTAGGCGATTGCTTATTGGATCAGGGTACAAAGTTATCTCGTCCTCAAACACTGCACATCCATCATCTTGAGAAGAGACGCGGCCATGAAGCCCCATAACCGGTGGTTTTATATGGGGGGATCCCCCCTTTTTACTCCCCCCCTCCCGCCTCTGCACCCTGCGTTCACAATCCCCCCCGCCTTCACCCACCTCCACCCCCCCACCCTCTTTCCCCCCACCCTCCTCCACCCTCCTCCACCTCCACCCTCCTCCATTTTCACCCTCTTCCTCCCCCACCCTCCTTCACCCCTACCCTCCTCCCCCCCCACCCTCCTCCACCCTCCTTCCCCCACCCTCCTCCACCCTCCTCCCCCCCACCCTCCTCCACCTCTACCCTCCTCCATTTTCACCCTCCTCCCCCCCACCCTCCTCCCCCCCACCCTCCTCCACCTCCACCCTCCTCCTCCCCCCACCCTCCTCCACCCTCCTCCCCTCCACCCTCCTCCCCCCCCACCCTCCTCCACCTTCACCCTCCACCGCCTTCACCCCCCTATTTTAATTCACATAGCGTCAGTGATGCTCGTTGCATCCAACAATGCTGTTGACTAATAATTATATGCGAGCACGGAATCCTATTTATAGCAACTACCAGTCAAATGAAAACCCTTGGAAGATAAAAAAAATTAAAGAATAAACAAATCAATCAATTAGATTCGAAGTTTTCGTGACTGCAGGAATTACTATTTGGTTCTTTCGATAAAGTCACGTAGAAAGAAAATAAATTAAATAATAATATAATACGACTTTTCGATTGCCAAAGAGCATGGATCCCTGCAGTCACGAAAACTTAAAATCTAGATCGCATTAATCATTGTTTCTGCTGCTATATTGGAGAGAGTTGCGGATACGGGAAATGTTGCGTACATGAAAGTCGGCAGTCTTGCACATTAAGGCAGCGGGGGGGGGGGGGGGTACAGTGAGGGAAAAAAGTACTTAATCCCCTGCTGATTGTGTACGTTTGCCCACTGACAAAGAAATGATCAGTCTATAATTTTAATGGTAGGTTTATTTGAACAGTGAGAGACAGAATAACAACAACACAAATCCAGAAAAACGCATGTCAAAAATGTTATAAATGTATTAGCATTTTAACGAGGGAAATAAGTATTTGACCCCTCTGCAAAACATGACTTAGTACTTGGTGGTAAAACCCTTGTTGGCAATCACAGAGGTCAGACGTTTCTTGTAGTTGGCCACCAGGTTTGCACACATCTCAGGAGGGATTTTGTCCCACTCCTCTTTGCAGATCTTCTACAAGTCATTAAGGTTTTGAGGCTGACGTTTGGCAACTCGAACCTTCAGCTCCCTCCACAGATTTTCTATTGGATTAAGGTCTGGAGACTGGCTAGGCCACTCCAGGGCCTTAATGTGCTTCTTCTTGAGCCACTCCTTTGTTTCCTTGGCCGTGTGTTTTGGGTCATTGTCTTGCTGGAATACCCATCCACGACCCATTTTCAATGCCCTGGCTGAGGGAAGGAGGTTCTTACCCAAGATTTGACGGTACATGGCCCCGTCCATCGTCCCTTTGATGCGGTGAAGTTGTCCTGTCGCCTTAGCAGAAAAACACCCCCAAAGCATAATGTTTCCACCTCCATGTTTGACGGTGGGGATGGTGTTCTTGGGGTCATAGGCAGCATTCCTCCTCCAAACACGGCGAGTTGAGTTGATGCCAAAGAGCTCCATATTGGTCTCATCTGACCACAACACTTTCACCCAGTTGTCATCTGAATCATTCAGATGTTCATTGGCAAACTTCAGACGGGCATGTATATGTGCTTTCTTGAGCAGGGGGACCTTGCGGGCGCTGCAGGATTTCAGTCCTTCACGGCATAGTGTGTTACCAACTGTTTTCTTGGTGACTATGGTCCCAGCTGCCTTGAGATCATTGACAAGATCATCCCGTGTAGTTCTGGGCTGATTCCTCACCGTTCTCATGATCATTGCAACTCCACGAGGTGAGATCTTGCATGGAGCCCCAGGCCGAGGGAGATTGACAGTTCTTTTGTGTTTCTTCCATTTGCGAATAATCGCACCAACTGTTGTCACCTTCTCACCAAGCTGCTTGGTGATGGTCTTGTAGCCCATTCCAGCCTTGTGTAAGTCGACAATCTTGTCCCTGACATCCTTGGAGAGCTCTTTGGTCTTGGCCATGGTGGAGAGTTTGGAATCAGATTGATTGATTGCTTCTGTGAACAGGTGTCTTTTTACAGGTAACAAGCTGAGATTAGGAGCACTCCCTTTAAGAGTGTGCTCCTAATCTCAGCTCGTTACCTGTATAAAAGACACTTGGGAGCCAGAAATCTTTCTGATTGAGAGGGGGTCAAATACTTATTTCCCTCAATAAAATGCAAATCAATTTATAACATTTTTGACGTGCGTTTTTTTGGATTTTTGTGTTGTTATTCTGTCTCTCACTGTTCAAATAAACCTACCATTAAAATTATAGACTGATCATTTTTTTGTCAGTGGGCAAACGTACAAAATCAGCAGGGGATCAAATACTTTTTTCCTCGCTGTATCTCTGCTTGTGTGTGCAGTGCCAGGGCACGCTGGGCGGCTGCTGTTCGGGCTGCTGAGCGGGGAGGTGTGCGTGTGCATGCAGGGCCGCGTGCACGCATACGAGGGCCACTCCATCGAGCAGGTGCGTGCCTCCAGCACCAGCGCTGGCACATGGACTTGCCATGCAGGGGCATCCGGTTGGAGCTCTTGGCGTGCCCCCTCCCCCCGCCTCTGTCCACGCAGAGGTTGTCACTGGGGTGCACCAAGCTTGATTCCGCAGGGCTGGGGACATCCTTGGAGGAGTGGGACATTCAGGCCGCTGGTGCAGAGAGGTGAAAGCCCCTTTCCGACTGGGGCTGGTAACCGGTAATATGATTTAAGAATCGGTTAAAAAAGTCAGGAACCAGTAATTGTGTCCAGTGGAATGTGAGTAATTGATAGGCCGATGGGGTCGTGCGAACGTACAAACCGCACAGGCACAAGTCACCACGTGGTGCATTTGCCCTTGTGTCTCGGTTAAACGTTTAAGTTAAGTTCATTTGTTACGCCAGTTAGCCAGCTATTTCACAGAGGAGATCAGTGGTGTGGAAACACAGCAACAACAAAACCATAACATTGAGATTGCCGAGAAAAAGTTTAGGGTCCATAAAACTATTGCAAAACTCACAAACAAGGCGTTCAACAGTCATAAATGGAAACACACACACGGGTCAAAAGTCTCATAAAAAGTTAGTTACATGTGTGGGAAAGCTCTATGTTTTAGCATAACAGTGACAAACACACACACACATCGAAAAAGACAGTGCAGACGTCGGAGCAGAGGGCGCCCACATTGCAATTGCAAGTATGCGCTGTGTTTTGGTTTAATAGGTAAAAAAGAGGGGCAGTGAAGGGAGGGAACTAAGCTGTAGATGAGCGAGGGAGTCTATTCCCGAAACAGACCTTAAGGATGAAGACAGCCTATTGATGGTCTCTCCAAATATTCAGGGTGGACGGATTTGAGTGAATGTACAGGTTGCAATGATGGGTTCTATCGGGGGTCGTCAAGGGCAAAACGAAGAGCGGAGTGGTGTAATGGAACGAGACATTTGAGGGTCGATTCGAAAAACTGGGTGGTAGATGGTGGCTCAATCATCACCTTTGAGCAGGATGGTGGCTTTAACTATATTCAGGTGGTGTTAAGGTGGAAAACAACTGCCGCTTCACTCCCCCCACGATTCTGAGCCTCTTTGCTGCGCTTTGTCCCGAAGGGACAGGGTACGCACGATTTGGTTGACCACAGGTATGTTGGCTGGCCCGATGGGCCTTTCAAAGCTGAGAATCGACCCCCCCCCCCCCCACGCGGGTGCGTCATGCTAGGCGAGTGATCGGGCGCGGGTCTACCTTGCCTCCATGATCCAGCACAGCTCTCCACGGTGGCCTCTGCCAAGCGTGGAGGCCTCCGAACTGCCGGGCAATGGCCAACGTCTGCCGGGCCCCTTCTGTGGGGGCCTCAAGCGCCGTGGTGACACCACCTACACCAGCCCTGGCTGCGGATGTCCCTGCACAATAGACTGCAGTGGGCTTTTGGTAGTTTGTCGTACTGTTCGCCGTAGGGCCCTAGATCAGTGGTCTCAGAGCCAGGCCCATGATAATTGTGGTCCTGAGGAGCCCCTCCAGGATTCTAAGGATTTCCCTATCCAGTATTACTCCTGTGGAGGGTTTGAGAAAGAGACTCCCCCAGCGTGACTCAGAAGGCCTAAAGGGACTGATCTGAGCAGCCATCCCATTTTGGTTGAAACGGGTCTCTACTGGAGCTTGCACTCGAGGGGTTTAGATCAGGGCAGGCCCGTCCGGGGTGCCCCCCCCCCCCGCCAGGACTAATTAAAAGTGCTACAGGCACCATACAAGTAAGAAGCGAAGGGACAGTGGGGATAGGACGATGAAGGCTAAAGTTCCATCCTCAGATAGTAAAACAATGAATATTTTTTTCATAAAGCCTCGTTCATGCAAAATTGCATCTCGCAACGCTGTACAAGAGTAAAAAGTAATGAGAGAATCAATTGTAACCCGCCTCTCCTGGAAATCTGTGACATATTTAAGCTCTTTGCCACTGCTGAGCTTCTTCTGGACCAGCATATTTTGGATGCCATCCGGCACAAATGGCCGAAACCGATTAGAACCCTCCAGGGTCCCTAAATAGGTGGATCAGTGCTATGCTGTGCCTGAGAACCAGGTCGATACAGCAGGTAGTGGTTCTTCTTGTAGATCAGGGGTGGGGAACGTTTGGCCCACGGGCCGTATAAGGCTCGCGAAACCATTTGGTGTGGCCCTGCCAAGGCAACCGCAGGCGGGACTCGAAATTAAATAAATCTAGGAGCAAACCTGGAAAAGCTGTTGCAAGTAGCAACATCATCAATACCAGCTAACATCACGCGCCTCACCAAAGAGAAGCAGTTCCAGCCATCACATTAGGGGTGAGTTAATGAAACGTTTGACCAAATATAACAACCAAATTTTTAAGTTGATAATTTTGTATGGCCCGCGAATGATGTTATAAATATCCAAATGGCCCTTGGCAGAAAAAAAGGTTCCCCACCCGTGTTGTAGATGCTCCCCTAATCTGCCCATTTTTCCTCATTAGGCACACATCCAGGGAAGACCCTTCTTGGCGTCTTCCTGACTTGGTTAAAAGCACCACTAACAAGGAGGTCCAGAATGCATTAATTGTAGCCTCTCACTGTCCCTCCGGGCCACGATGTATGTAGCATACACAGTAACATTGGCATAGGATGCATTGGTCAGGTTTTTTTTAAGCCTGAGGCCAAGTCTTCAGCTGGCTTCCAGTTTCATCACTGATGTAGGCCTTTGCCTGGTGAAATGAAATGCTTGGGCTATGGTCACCGTGACAACTGCCAGATGGTCTATTTGGCAGCGCAAGTTACACATGCCACAGACTATGAAAGCCTCACTGGCTCAGTTCTCCTTTAGCGGTAGGTTCCTTTTCGCGGAAAGCCGCCTAGGGGGTCCTTGCCCTCCATGGAGAAGGGAGCAGCTGGAGAAGGCCAGGGCCTAGAACGCCCTCAGGTGGCCACAACGAGGTATCCCATCCCCTTGTCCTCCAACACCGATGTGGACACCGCGGCACTGGCAGCCCCTGTGTCTCCCCGGCTGGCAGGTCATCTCTGTCTCTCGCTATTTCTCCCCCAGTGACATATCTCTACTAAGCATTGTTCCTTCTTTCGAGGCGCATTTTCACCTTCCTTTCTTTTGACTTGGCTATGCGTACATCTCTTCATAACAGTGAAGTCTGGCGGTGACCAGGTTTTCGCCAATGACCCGCCTCTAAAACGTTTGGAGCTTTCTGTCATTTAAAAATTAAAACACATATCAGGGCTGGTTAGATCTGGTTTGAATGTTATGTAGGTCCTAGTGCGTGTTCCCCAGTTTCCTAGTTTTCGCTCTGTAAAGTCACTGAGTTGGTATTTCCGGGATCATGTGATGCAGGTAGAAGCCCTGCCCCGTGTATCAGTTTTTTTTATTATAAATTTCTGGCGCTGGCATGGAAGCAGAATATTAATCTCTTCTGCTTCGCGCTTTCAGATGCGCTTCTCTGACCGTCTGGAACGCTCATCTTTCTGATGTTAGGAAGCCACTGGAGATATGCACTTTGAAATCTTTATTGAAAACTAATTTCTTTAGAACTGCCTTTTGTGTTTAGCTTGTTGTTTTTATCACGCACCTCCGATTAACACAGTTTGCTATGTAGGGTGCGAAAGAAGTTCGACATGCATACCAACATACCAATGGACCCTGACGGTGGCCACCATTCTATATAGAAAGTTTCGAGTCGAGGCTAATTCATAAATATTTAAAGCTGTCAACCTGCTCAATAGGGCGAGACCAGAGCCACCATGTGCATAGGTGGTGAGACAGGTTTGGGGCAGCCTGAAAATAACATAACTTTGGTCTTTTTAGCATTGAGGACCAGTTTCGGGAATTAAGTGTAAGTTTACGTAAGTCGTGTTGTAGATGCTGTTGTAACTCCTCCATGGAATTTCGGGAGGCCATCAGGGTTGTGTCATCAGCAAAAAAGGTTCATGTCAATAAAAGGTAAAGTAGCAACCCTCCAGCCGCTGGCTTGCGCCACTGCTAGTGGAAGGGTCTCCTCCACTAGAGGGAGCTCTAAAGAGGGTATTTGCTTTACTCTTCCACATAGCAGACGTCCAGGAAGAGATGGACATACCCACAATTTACCCCACTCTGCACTACCTGCCAATTATAGACTACCTGTGGTGAACCTATTTATGCTGGTGGGTGGACAGAGCTGGCAGGAGGACTGAAGACAATTGCCCCCTTGTTTCCACTGCCCCGCCAGAGCATGCAATGGAACAGCAACCTATGCATTGCAAGTCCAGTAGTGCACAGACTCACCACTCCACCACCATGGCCACCACTGCGCTCAGTTATTCGTTGAAAAAATGATAAAAGTGTTGTGTTTATTACTCCAGTCATTTCTGCGTGTGGGGCACTAATCAGTATTAACTGCGTTTTACTGTTTTTTCATGCGGTTACCGGTTAGGCAAAACAATTATCTGAACAACGGTACTTCCTCTACACATAGACATGTATATATATATCCATATATCTCTAGAGTGTGTCATCACAAGATGCTCACCACAAGTGGCATTGGAGAAACAAATACATTGATATGAATGGAAAATCAACGAACTATCTCAGATATTGTGAAGACAGCAGCGGTCGTCATAACAACCAATGGGAACGAGTCATAGGAGATGAGGGAGGTACCAAATAAGGAAGGGTGTAATGGCGAGCGCCAAGAAAATGTGACACTTTGCTTAGCTAATAAGTTCGCTAAACAAGACGTCTAGAACACACATCAGTGTCTACCATGCAGCAACGTGCCCACAGAACATTCACATTTCGATGCGTATAACTACCTCTTGCTGCAACATGCGGATCATGTAGATATTAACAAAGAAAATTAAAAGCTGAAAAGTGTGCAAAGAAGCATTTAGAGGGGCACGCTTGTAATGACACTGAGAGACAGGAGAGGAACACGTGGATTACAGAATAAACGCGCGTTAGAGACATCAATTGGACCGTTCAGAAAATTGAGTAGGCTTGGGCAGGACGCGTCCTTGGTGTGTGGTTGAGATTAATGACAAAGTGGACGGCCACCATAATGCGGAGGTGCTCGATTTTTTGTTAAATCACAATACCTTGAGAGGTGGCCTTCGTGGCGTCGGGAATTGCTCATGACTGATGGTGATGATAAATCTGATGCTGCGTGCCTCCATCGCAGATCACATATCCCGTACGAGTGTTCAAGCTGATGGGAATCGAGACACTGATTCTCACCAACGCAGCTGGAGGCCTAAACCCCGACTACAAGGCTGGGGACATCATGCTCGTGAGAGACCACATCAACCTGCCCGGCCTCATGGGCCTCAACCCCCTAGTGGGGCCCAATGATGAAAGGTGCGAACGAGACCTCCTCCCTCCTCATTCCACCACCTCCATCACTTTGTGGCTGTCATGGGTGCTCTCTCTCTCTGTTGTCAGCCTGTGGATAACACTACTGTGATTTTAGCACCAACACTCATTTCAATGAAACTTACAAAAACACCATCTTCACCACCTACTAAAATTCCACCACATCCACTACCAACTATATCACCACCACAACCTCAATCACCACCACAAACAACTCTGCCTCTATTATCAACACTTCACCACCACCAACAAAAGACAGAGATTCCCCTTATAGCCTTAACAGACTGTTGGGGCAAGTGCTATTAGAAGGCCAGCACAGCACACAAGGGCGGGGGGGGGGGGATGGTCAGCACCACACATGGCCGCATTTTTCTCCATAGTGGTGTTGTTTACACACTGCAACAGGGACTCATTTGAAGCTGATTCAACCTTGGGAAGGCCCAGGATCGGTTCCGACAATCGTCAATGCTGTTGGCTCTGAGCAAAAATCTAAATCAGGCTGGAATGTCTGTAGTGCATGGCAATTAGCCGCTGCACCACCACTATCTCCACCACCATCACAACCATCCCCAAGCACCAGGACGACCTCCACATACTCTTCCACCATCTTTCTGGGCACTATGGCTCCACTGCCTGCCCCCCCACCCCCACTTACATCTGCCACCTTTTTATGCCTCTCCCAGACTGGGCGTGCGCTTCCCTTGCTTGTCGGACACATACGACCTGGCCTTACGGCGCACGTGCTCGCGTGTGGCGGCGCAGCTTGGCGTGACAGAGTTGGTGCACGAGGGCGTGCTGTGCATGCAGACGGGGCCCTGCTATGAGACGGTGGCCGAGAGCCGCCTCCTGCGATCGTTCGGCGCCGACGCCGTGGGTGAGTCTCTCGGCCACATGCTCCTCATCTATATATATATAAAAGGGAAATTTGTGAATATGTGTGTCTGTTCGAAATGCTTAGCATACTTCCCGACATGCAACAAACTTCAAATGTGGAATGTGGGTAGCTTCCAGACTGTATACAATGCAAAATGTATAAATATAGACTTTTGTATTTGGGGGGGGGGGGGGGGCGCAATAATGGATATATTTTGCACGGCAAGTGAGCGGTGACGTCACATCTGTGGGTTTAACCAGGCTGGATTGTGTGAGGAGCTCATAAATCCTTGAAAGATCTGGATACAGTCCCATCGGTGAGCTCCTCTGGCAGGCAAGGCTGTTAACTGGGTCATGTAGCCCACATGCCCAGCCACCACATGCCCAAATAGATTTTGTTCGGCCACATAGGCTCAACGGGTGCGACACGAGCTACAGAAGAGATGGAATATGGAGTTGAGTGGACTTGCCAATGATTGGTACCAGGCTCGTGAAGTACGCTACTTGGCAGTTGGAGCCAGTCGCCCTCCAGCAACAACAGATGGCAAAAGGCTATACTCACAACAATGAGTGAAGCACCGGGTGGCTAAAACGCAGCAACTTGGCATAACAGGAGACACAGGTGATTCATCTGCGAGTCAACCCATAGCACCTGGGTCTGTTCTGTGACCTCCTTCCAGCGAGTGTTCAACACTTCACGTGGCCTTTAAGTGCACATAGCCTGGCACAAGTGCCGTGGTGACGCCACCACCAGCTTAACGGTGAATGGCGGTTGTTGTCCCATATCCCATGTGTGTGTTATGCGGGTCCAATCAGTTTAACACGTAGGCTTTCGCGAATTGCCCGATGATGCTGGATGCAATTACCAGCGAAACGTCGTACTCAAATTGTAAATGTTGTGGTTTCACGCTTCAACACACCGGTGTGCTAAAGCAGTGAACTATTTGTCTTTTGTCAACGTGACACTTTTTTACTGATTGGCCGTGTCGGGTGGTGGAGGGTTACGACACATTTATAAATAACGCGATCTAAACCCAAAAACGTTGATTATGAATGCGGGTATAATGTTACGTGCGTGTCCTGCGTGCGTATGGCGTTGCAGGCATGAGCACGTTGCCCGAGGCCGTGTGCGCATACCACTGTGGTCTGCGAGTGTTGGCGCTCACGCTCATCACCAACATGGCCGTCAGCAACTACCGGAGCGAGGAGCGCACCAACCACGCCGAGGTGCTGCATACGAGCAGCTTGCGCGCCGTCGCCCTGCAGACCCTCGTCAGCGCCGTCGTCGCGCAACTCAGCCAGTTCCACCGAGAGGGCGGAGACGCCGCGGCTGCCGTCGAATGAAGAGGGGTGGCAGCGGTGGTCGAATGTCGCTCAAACGTGGGACCCTGCATGAACTCGAACCATTGTGACATCTGCGCCCTGTTGATCGTTCATACTTTGTCTAAAGGTTGTTATCCACCATTAGCGATCCCTCTAGTAGAGTGATTCTTAACCTTGACTGCAGCCTGAACCCCTTTGGCTCTCAGAAAGGGCATCTTGCACCCCAGGTTAAGAACCACTGCTCTAGTACAATGTTCCATTTCTCACAGTCGAGGCATTATTCTTCAATGTTTGCAGTGTTTTGCAATGAGCATTTATACTCCACTCAGCTTTGTAGGGGTGCCACGGTATGCATGATGTTAACTTCTTCGCCTGGTACTCTTTGGTTTTTTCGGTAAAGTCACGTAGGTATAAAATAAAATAAATTGAATCACGACGTTTCGATTGCAGCACAAGCAATCATCACCAGGTGGGAAAACCACAGCAATTTTTTTTTCAGGAAAAAAAAATTCAGGATTTATTTTCCTTGCTGTGGTTTTCACACCTGATGATGATTGCTTGCGTTGCAATCGAAACGTTGTGATTTAATTTATTTTATACCTACGTGACTTTACCGAAAGAACAAAAGAGTATGGATCCCTGCAGTCACGAAAACTTCAAATCTAGATTCCTCCGCCTGGTATTATTGGTTTTAATCCTGACCCTGCCACCTGTATATTTGGAGTTTGCATGTTCTCCCCGTGGTCACGTGCATTTTTCTACGGTTCATCCGTTTTTTCTCTCCACATTTAGAAACCTGCGTTGACAGTATTTGGCTGCTCTAAAGTTCCACATGATAAAGCACTTTGAGCTATCATTGGTGGACAGGTCACTTGTGAAAAAGAGCTTCATAGCTCAGTGGGCTTTACATGGTAAAATAAAAAAAATGTTAAGTAGTTTTCGGGCAACCTCAAGGTAATTTTCCTTAAATGATTTATTTCATAATAATAATGTCGTTGTGTAACGCACCTCACAGTATTTCTTCTCTCATAGAGATCACGACTCGGGTGCAAGGAGGGGCCACAGATGAGCGGGAAGGCAGTAGCCAGACGGTAAAGAGCCAGCGGCTCCTACTAATTTCCCAATCTCTGCGGTCCTCTATCAATCTATTTCCATTTTTCGATTTAAAGCTTTCGTGACTGCAGGGATTCATATTCTTGGTTCTTTCGGTAAAGTCACATAGAAGGGAAATAATACATAATAAAAATTAAACAATAAAATAAAAATAAAATAAATTCAATCACGACGTTTTGCTTGCAACACAAGCAATCATCATCAGGTGTGAAAACCACAGCAATAATTTTTATTTTTTTCAAAAACCACAGCAAGAAAATTATTTTTTTCAAAAAAATGATTGCTGTGGTTTTCACACCTGATGATTGCTTGTGTTGCAATCGAAACGTCGTGAGAATTTCATTGTAAATTTTTTATTATTTTATTATTTCCCTTCTACGTGACTTTAACGAAAGAACCAAGAATATCAATCTACTTCCAGCTTATTAATAAGTGCTTATACATGTGGAAGGAAACGGGAGTCGAAGGAGAAATCTCACATGTTGCACAGTAGACAACTCTATACAGGTGGAAAAAGATGGACGCTAATCCACTTTCTGTACTGCCTTCTGGCACGCGAGGGTTTGGCGACGATGTTGCCCGCGAGACGGGAGTTTCACATTTGTGTGATATACCAACCCTCGCTGCCTCCACAGTGCTTTACGACATGCGTAGTCGCCATTGCCCGGATAAAATGACCAATTGCTCCACGTAATCTGCGTAACTTCTAGTGACATGCTCACTTTGCGTCATCGTCACTAGGAGTTTCCACCACGGCTCAGGGCTGTAGATATGAGATGAGGACCGGCTCAAGACGTATTTGAACAGGGCAATGGCTTCACGTATTTGGGTGAGAAAGTCCATTCAGCAATAATTCAAAATCGCCGTGAATGGTAATCCCCATTGCTCTTAGGCCACAGTGCGGTAGTGAGCATGCAAGCCGATACCGTGTATTGGGGGGACGTGGCAGCCCTGGACATTTATGTCAACAGCTGAGTGGGTATTGCATCAGATGCCGTTGCCACATGCAGTGCATAGCGGTGCTGTTGGGTCGTCGTGGCTGTTGAGTGTGCACATTTGTTCTGCCCTGAACGTCAGTAAACATTGAAGGAGTAAATACGACGGATCTGACGCATTTTTTGGTTCACACAAAACCCGACTTTGCTGATGAGACAATGCATGGCGAAAGCGGTACAGTGCTTTGTTGTATTGAATTAATGTTCAAATGATGCACTCGCAGAAGCCTATGGGGCTGATAGGATGTGCCGTGGAGAGGACAGATATGTAAAGAAGGTGTATTTTTGATACCAATTAATTTTGCTACTTATATTCTCCACGGACGCTGGTGATGATTGCGTGTTATCTCAGGTGGTGGCTCAAAGCCTCTCAGGAGCAGCTGCTGTTGATGCCCTGCTCTGCAAGTGTTCAGTGTACGCTTCGTGGCACTCGAAGCTAAACTAGGACATGTTCGTAAAACAAGGAGCGTATAATATAGGCGGTATGATGCGAGAAAATATTATAATGCAACTGAGAAGTTTGATTCTAGAAGACACAACGTGACCGGGATCCACGTGAAGACATCTCAGTGGGGCCTCTCCTCCTGCCCCTTGCCGCTGTTACAGAGCGTCAGACGGCAACTCTCAGAGTTGAGTTTGCTTGCGTTGGATGGTGGAGAGTCCTGGCAAGACATGCTGTCTTACAATGAGGCTGTAGAAGAGCGATGTGCTGTTTTCGCATGTGTAGACTATGCACACGCAACATAAATCACGGGCTAAGTGGAGAGTCTGTAACACATACTGTAACACACACGTGGACGACTTGGAATGCACCCGATTTGGTCAGACCTCTAAAGCCAAGCAGATCTGAGCTTGGACAGTGCCTGGATGAGTGCCCACTATGCACAAACAGGTTGTCATAGGGCTGCGGGGACACGTTGTGTTTATATCCAGTTGTACTGTACGTCTATGCTGCCCACCTTTACCAATCCACACTGACCAGCCAGGGTGAAGTATGGTCAAACGGCCTCCACAACCAGCAAGGCGTGGGGCGGCCCTCATTCAGCAGTGGATTGACGAAAGGTCTCTATGCTCCTAGTGACATTGTGCAGCACTCATCTCCACCAGTGAAATTTCCACATTCCCATGGCTGGGACCATCTTTAACAACTACTGATGACTTTGCACAAAGTGGTACTTATTGTATGGCCCTGTAGAGATGACAATGATGGCTTGACGATGTCAACCCTTGACCCTACAATAAATGAAAGCATGCGCATTGTTATACAATAACAGTCTACGTAAGGAAGGGTTGATAGCAAGCAGCACGGCTATTACAATTAGAATAACAAACACCCCGAGTGCTAAGGTAGTGAAATTATATTATATTTAAGACCGGGAGCAAGAGCAGAGCCTCACCATTCTGGCGAATTGCCCGATGATGCTGGATGCAATAACCAGCGAAATGTCGTACTCAAAAATTGTAAATGTTGTGGTTTCATGCTTCAACACGCCAGTGGGCTAAAGCAGTGAACTTGTCAACGTGACACTTTTTTGCTGATTGGCCGTGTCGGGTGGTGGAGGGTTACGACACATTTATAAATAACGTGATCTAACCCAAAAATCGTTGATTATGAATAATATTGGTCGCGAAAGCCTACGTGTTAAACACGATACGCATAATGCATTTGTCGTATTTGTGACCTATTAAGTACTGTATGAAATAGTCTTGGTTCTTTCGGTAAAGTCACGTAGAATGGAAATAATAAAATATAAAAAATTAAACATAATAAAATATAGATTGCAATGCTATAACAATGCACGCATATGCACAACAGTGCACATCGCGAGACCGTGTTCAACGTGCACAGATTTAGCACTTTAATTTAAAGCATTTATAGTTAGAACATTTTGACAATCAATAAGTATAACCCGTAAAAACAAAGTTTTTCACTATAAATCCTTTATATGCGTGGCGGCTAGAGTCCTCTCGTCATCTGGCTTGAGATGGCTGCCACCTATGGGTCAGATGATTGTCTGCCAGTATTAAGCAATTGGTAATTAAATATTTAATTTGTTTTCCCTAAACAGTGTAAAATTTTGGAAAAAAAAATTCACAAACATTAATTGTCTCGCACAACGAGTATGTGTACAAAATGTCAGCTCGATTGGATCACGGGAAGTGGGTTAAAAAACGACCGAAAGATTTGCACGGTCGTAAGCAAGCACGCAAGCAAGCGAACTTAATATAAAGAATTAAAAAAAGGGATAACATTACGGCATTCAATTCTAAAGTATGATCACGGTTCTCACCTGCTTACTCAACTAGAGCATAATAACCATGTTGTGCTCAGCGCGTCGGAAGGGGCGTGACAAATAGAACGATATGATACTATTTTTTTCGATTATAACTACGTAGTTATTTTAACGATAGCAATGGTAGCGATCAATTGTTGGTCTCGCACTTAGGAAGAGGTGGGAGGGTACCCCAATGGCCGCTCCTGCGCCATGACGAGCAGCGATGTAAGGCCGTCTTTTCATTGGTCAGACGCCCCCCCGCCCCCCCCCAACGACAGCAGTCGCTCTGATTGGAGCAGACCTGGTCTTCACCTGAGGACGGCTGCTTGCGTTGTGGCCGAAACGTTGTGAGAATTATTTTATTATGTTTTATTTTTATTATTTTATTACTTCCCTTCTACGTGACTTTACCGAAAGAACCAAGAAGATGAATCCCTGCAGCAACGAAAGCTTTAAATCGAAAAAATAAAAAAGATTGTTTAAAAATATTTTATCTTATGTTAATATAGTATTGTCACCAGTATGAAATAAGTATACCAAGTTTGCAGTCGATATCACTTTGGGAAGTGGGTTAAAATTGAGTTACAAGATTGGAGGATATGACAACGACAACAGACAGCGTGAGTTAAATAAAAGCATGTAGTAAAGTCAAAAACACGAATAGGTCCAGGTTCGCACACCTGTCAACAGTGTCGGATTATCCCAGTAGCAAAAGTAGCTACAAATACCACGGGCCTCGCACTTTAAAAGGCACCACGCTAAATGCTTTCGAGCTATCAATTCCGGTTCAGTGATTCTGCACTTGCTCTATTACTATAGTACTATACCGCCTTCAACTTTTATGGACGACTGGATGTATAAGGTTACCGATTTGCCGTATTATCTGGATATATAGCAAATGAAAAAATACAATGACTTTACTGTGCAAGTAAAAAATGTGTGTTTAAATATATTTAGGGTGTGGAGGCTCCTCGCCTCTGTCTCCATCGTCCCCTCCGTATCATTACCCCCTTGCTGTCTGGTGGGGTCCGGACTTTCGTCCCCCATCTGCTCCCTATCCTGTACCCCCGTGAGTGCTGCGGATCGTGTGTGCATGCTCCCCCTGCGCTGATGTTGGCCGCGGAGCGCAAGTTGCCGCCGCCGTGCGCGCGAGATAAACAGCACGACAATGCGCAGCCGATTACGCGCTCGAGCCGCGGGGTTGGGGGTCAGGGGCCCACCACCGCGCCGCACTTACGCAAGTAACGAGCACACGCACGATCGCACAAAGCTAACAGCTTCAATGCGCACAGCGGTTTCGCACACGCGAGCGGGGCGCACGCCGACACAACGACTCGTCCCCTCCCGCACTCGCACGTGTACGTCAACACAAGTATCGTACAAGGACGATTCTCCTCTCACACGGCTGCGTAGGCACGCAAACACACAAAAGCGCTCTCCCTCCTCTTCTCGCTCCCCCCGGCCGTGCGATCACAGCGCGCTCCGGTGCCGCGGCTCGCGGGTTCACCGTGTGCGGCTTGCGGGTTTTACCGAGCGCGGCGTGCACACACGCGAGCGACGCCCACGCTCGAGCGAGAGCACGTAAAACCCCCCTCTTGCGCGGCCGCGCGTTTATACAAATACACTGTGCGCTCCCCGGGCGTCAACACACACATCTCCGTACCCGCACAATCGTACAGAAACCACGGCCTTTACGCATACAACGACCACACACCCGCGAATGCAGCGCACGCTAATACCACGTGCAAAAATACCCAACAACACGGTTTTATTACTACGCTCGAGATTTTATTAGCCCTTGTTAACCAACCGAGCCACCCGTGTGTGTGTGCGGGCCAGCAAGGCGCTTCTAACCCACACTCTGGTGGCGTGCAGCCCCATTCTATGCTGCGCTCTCTGTTAAACTGCTTTCCTCTCGTCCTTACCCCGAACTAACCCTTCTCCCACGGATCCTACTCTCCGCTCTGAGGTGTTGTAAGGCGCGTAATACGATACCGTCTGTAGTCCTTGGTGGCCTTGCGGCGCTCAGATCGTCCTGCAGACAATCTAGCGGTTCGCCAGATGACTCCTTCGTCGCTGACTCCATGTCAAAACTCCAGAAGAAGACCCCTCCCCTACTCTGCCCTCCGTCCTTTATCCTATTCACATCAAAGGCTATGCGCCCCCGTCCCAACCGCCTTGGTCTCTCGACCAATCAGTAGCCCCGGGTCCGTCGCTCTCCGCCAACGCTGCTCTTGTTTTTTCCGGTCCTGATCCCAGCTATCCGCCTTGCTGACCCGTGTTTGTGTTTGTATGCGTTTCTAACTGCGGGGCTCTCTGAGCTCGCCGTGGTCGTGCGATCTCAAATCCGCCCACGGCGCCGCAGTGTTACTTGGCCTGGGAAGGGTCCTGTCAAATTCCCTGGCCCTGAGAAACCGTGGGGTAACCCCCCGAGAAGGTCCTCGGGTGAAAACTCAGGGTAGGTGACCCGACCACGAGGCCCTACGTGGGTGCGGGTGCGTGCTTATGTGGGGGGGGTGCGGTGGGGGAAGCCGGGCGGCTCCCTGGCTCGGCAGAGCGGCCCCGTCGCTGTGGCACCACATAGCCCCCCGGGGTGCCAGTCCCCGTCCCGGGTTGACTGGAGCACCTCGCCTGGGTTGTCCCCACGAGGTATCGCCGCGGGGTCCGCGGGATTCGCCCGGCCCTTGTGGCTGGCCTCGGGGGTGGCGGCTCCGTCTCCTGGGGCTCCGGCAGTGGTCTCCTCCTCCATTCCAACGGCTCCCCTCGGCCTCTGGCACCTACGGGCTGGGGAACAAACTCAGAGGCGGTGGGGTTTAAGGGTCGCC